ATTTAATATAAGAAGCACCATATATAATTAGCTGTTTATTTCATTTACCCCACCCGACTAGACATATTAATTTCTGCACATTAATTTTTTATATGGTAAAATTATACGTAAATCGTCAGCTGCGCTTCTAGCGTTCACCACTAGTCGGTGAGTGGCGCTCGATCCAGATTCTGCTGCTTCTCCACAGACATTTCATTTACAGTCGAAGCACATAATCAGATACAGTACATTTTCACTCCAGATTTAATTGATATTTAAAGCTTCTAGTTGAATGAAAAAGTGAACAACAAAACGATCTTTTAGATGATGGCGCGCACCTAACGTCCCTCATGGATGTAATTCCAGATTTCTGATTTGATCGCTCATTTTTCTCTCCTTTCCCTCCCTTGTGTGTTTGGAGGAAGTCTGAATATTTGTGCCTCGCATGAGTAGGTTATTATTCTGCCCTGTGGTTCACAGAGATGCAGTGAATGAGTTAGTGTCTCCGTGTGTGAGCTCAGTGATATTTGTGTAAACGCACACGTCTATTACACCTGGAGAATTTTCCACAGTATGCCAGTTTTGGGCCAGTGAATGTTGCACTGTGAATATTCCACAGCAGCCTGCTGTTGCTGGTTCAAAAACATCTATGATTTTTAATACCAGAAACCAGATTATGTTGTTCAAAACTGAACTCCAAAAAGTTATGCAAACCAAGCCACTTTTTAGGATTCCATTTATATCTGCTAGTTACATTTAAGCGGTCATCGTTGTTCCATATTGTTAACTTTGGGACAGCAGACAGACTTTTGAGAGCACAGTGTTTTTTAGGTGGGGAATATTTATTTAACATGGATGTTCCTTCAACCTCATTTCAAAGGCAGCAGTCTCAAAGAACAGACTGTCTCCCTTAACCAAAACACCCTCAACCCAATGCAGTGAATGAGGACTGAATGGAGCCACTGTGTGTGAAGGAAATGCCTGGAATATTTGTGTGTATGTTCGTAGCACGTGAGAAAAGACTGTCCTCATGGGTGTGTCCATCATTCTTGACAGTTTCATGAATGTCATTGTGTGTTACTTACATTGCTAATCTTCCCCATCACTCTTGTCCTGAAGTGCATTGGAAATATGAGGGCTGAAGAGTTTAATGGGTGCTCCTCAGATCCCTTATTAGATTTGTTGAAATTATGCATGCATGGAAAGAGCATAGCATCACTATTATAATTGTGCATACTTGGTATTAAACTTGTAACTGTCATTAGTTCATGGATGATACCTCAAGTTAATTGTTGTAGTGAGCTGTGCTATAGTTTTCTAAGTGATCAGCCTTATGCTTTTCGCTCTGAGCAACCATTTCTTTATTATTCTTCTCCCATAACTAACAAACAAAACTAACCCTAGTGATTCAACTCCAGCTGTAGGAACCTTTTAACACTCTGACCGCAACAGGCCTCCAGAAGCCTCACACTTCCACAAATGGCTCTGTTGACAACAATACAGTTCCTCTGGTTGAAGAAGCACAGCTTTGCGGTATGTCTTAGAGAGATAGTTAGTCATCATGTCTTCAAGGGTTGTTTTTGAACCTAAAAAAAACAGAAAGTTGGCTTAAAGGTGGGGTAAGCGATTTTTCAAAAACACTTTATAAAACCGATTCGGGCCGAATAGCAAAACAAACTTGTAGCCAATCAGCAGTAAGGGGCGTGTCTACTCATGATGTGGAGGAGAGAGAGTTCAGTGCACAGGACGGACATTAGCCGAGCCGAGTGACAGAAAGATAGAGATGGCGGATAAAAAACAAAAGAGGAAAACGTCTGCGGAACGATAAGGCAAGAAGTAGGACCCATGTAAATATCGGATTGATTTCAAATGTCAACATTGGCTACCAGAAATCGCTTACCCCACCTTTAAAGCCCGTTCACACCAAGAACGATAACTATAAAGATAACGATATTAGTGTCCACACCAGCGAACGATATCGTCTGTTTATTCTAAGCGCACGGGCGTCTGCCGCTTTAAATTCTCGAGCTCGTAGCAGGATGGATTCTGATTGGCTGTCGATGTTTTTATCGTTCATCAGCTGGAAAAAAAAATTGTTCTGAAAGTGATTCCAACTATATCGTTTCTCTGTGCCTTTATCGTTATAGTTGTGGTGTGGACTCTGCTATTCTTTAATATTGAGAACGATTTTTAGAAATATATCTTGTTATCTTTATCGTCCTTGATGTGAACGGGCCTTTACACTGTTAAAAATAAAGGTTCCAGAAGGAAGTTTTCACACCAGTGCCATAGAAGATCCATTTTAGTTTCCCAAAGAACCTTTCAGTGAAAAATTCCATTTTTTTTTCTTAAAGAACATTTTAATAATCTAAAGAACCTTTTCCACTTTAAAGAACCTTTTGTGGAATGGAACATTGATGTTAATGTCTCTTCATAGAACCACTGATGCTAATATAGAACCCTTATTTTTAAGAGTGTAATGTTTGAGCCATTAATACCTTAAATAGATCACTGTATCGCTCTTCCAAACATGTTTCAACTTTCATTGCATTATGCGGCTGATTATTCTGGAAAATAAATCTTAAAAATGGAAACATGCAATGAAAATGTCTTTACCTGCCTTTACCAGGATTGCTGCAGCAGGTTTGATATCTCACAGAATTTCTGTATTTCAAGGATAGTTTAAAATAGTTTTTTTGGGAATGCAGACATCTCACCACAAGAGGGCCCAACACATGCTCACGCTTTTCAGTTCAATAGCACCACATCTGAAGGATTCACACTTAGCACATAATAAGCACCCTCTTCCTTTAGTCTGGCTTATTTTTTTATTAACATGTCTCGGGGAATTGAAACTTTTGTGCATGCCTTATGATTGTACGGTTGCATCTTTACAGTTGTAAGCTGATGAAAGTTGTCTGTTTTCACACTTCTGTGCTTAAGATCACAACTGATTATGAAGCTGACCAAGCTATTTGTCAGTAACCAAATTTAAAACTGATTCAGAATGTTTTGCTAACCATATTATCTTGGATTGCTATTAATAGGCATTTAGTTTGAGTAATACTTAGTAAAGTATATAAATTTTTCTGTGAGTAGTGTATACTTTGGTTTACAGTGATGGGTGTATACAGTAGCTGTGGGGAATCTGTATAAACGCTCAATCTTTTTTAGTTTACATGATGTTTAATATAGCGGCCGTGTGGTCAGTCTATCCATCCTGGCAGTAGCAAGCAGAGGCGCACTGTACACCACACACTGACTCATACTGAGCCACCTAGATCCAGAACACGCTGGCACAGAATATATATATTTGTACATATAGTATTAGTATAGTATTATAATGTATAATAATAAATTTGCAACCTTTGTTTAAGGCAATACATGTTCTAAAGCACTGACTTTCAAGAGGCCCTTCATCTCTTTGGCATGAGAATAATATTAAGCAAATGACAGCAAATAATCATTTGAAAATATGGCTATTCAATTCAAGTTGAATTGAATAGCTTTCTGCACTTGAACTGAATGGACACATTATTTAGACAGCGCAAATGAACTGGCCTATTGTTTGGAGGTAGATTACTGTTTGTTTGTTCACTAATCGTCTTAAAAATCCCATGTTTGTGTCATAAAAGTTCTACATTTGTCGAGAAGAACCTTTATTCACTTCCTGGAAAGCATCAATAGTCAGGCAAATGTGCTTGTGTCAGCCTTTGGCTTTTTTCATTTTTAAACCTTTCATCAAGATAAAAAAAAAAAATTTTAGATAAATGCTCATTCTGTTAAATTTAATATAATACATTTTTATTTTAAATCAATATTTCAAAATGATATGATCAAAATAGTTTTTTGATCCAATTAAATGATATATAGTGTTTTCATTCTCAGTTTTTTTTTATTCTCTTTTGTCTACAGTGTCTTATTTTATTTGTGCACTGCTTGCCCTTATTCCCAGTGTTGCTCTATTTGAGAAATGCTTTTTGGGCCTCTCCCTCTTTATTTTATCCAGTTTCTGTGGTTGAGGTCTCAAACAGTGCCATACATTGTGCAGGTTGTCTCTTCTGGAAACCGATACAGTGACCAGAGTCTTTTTCTTGTTCATCTCTTTCTCCCAGAGTGTTTGAATAGGTTCACCTTTTGAGAATCAAGGAAGCATTGCATTTTAGCTAGACGCCCCATTTTAGGATATCCCTGCACTCTTGAACCTGTTTCCTTACAGTATTGTGTTGAATATTGTACACTAGCTACTCCTCTAGTCTATTATCCTCTTACGAACATCTGTCTCTATATTTTTTGTATGTCTAACTGTGTACTCACGTTCTAATTAGTTTACATAAGTAGTATTCCTTATTTTTGGTCTGTAATATGAATATGCTAGTTGCTAAATGCAAAATGACTTAACTACCCATTGTGGTAACTACACAGACCATATTTTGGTCAATGTGGTTATAGGGACCAAAAATACTGGCAGGGACTCAGAGGAAAGTCCCAGCGCTAAAATGAAAGGATTTGTCAAGCCCTAGAAAGAGTGTATGGACACAGAGCCAAACATGCTTAACATCAAATGCGTATTGCAAATACATTAAGACTTGTTAGAGAGTTTAACATAGTTTTAGGCAGTTAATAATGTAGTACACATTGTGGGTTTGCGTAGGATTCACATGAATCCCATAAAGAGCAACAGAGCTGCCAAGAGCAATAGGAAGATGGAAATAGACATAAAATTTTAAAACCTGTCTGTGTGGGGTCTGTTGAATGATTCAACATCTGTTTGAACTCACTTTTTGTAAAACGGTGTTCACAGAAACAAGTGCATTTATCTTGTCTGAAAATCATGTTATTTCATTTTGCAAAGCTCATACTAACAGAAATATGTGCTATGAGCTCTCTTTGAATCTAAATGAACAGAAACTGTTAATATGAATGCATAATCATATTTTATACATTTAATGAATGATGTTAAAAAGTGTCTTAATGCACTTTTTTATTCTAACAGTGACCGAACTCTTCTACTTCTACAGATCCGATAGATGTTTTGCGGGTGCTGCAGTTGCCTTCCCTCCCTGAAGGTGTGCAGAAGGTCCCGGGTTTCTGCACCTCTCGCCGGTCCGGCACTCCTGATCATGCCTACCGCATCACTAAGAAAGCCCAGATCTCTGCCCCCACCAAACAACTATTCTCAGGTAAGTTCTTTGAATATATAAGCGTTTAAATAACCCTTATTCACATAAACCAGATCTGAAGACATTCTGTTGTGTTCATAGACACACAATCGCATAACTTAATGTTTTATCTATAAAAACAGCGGTAGGATCTTAGTTATATGTATCTGAAAGCCACTTATGGAATGTCAGTATGTGTCTGGAATATGAAGGAATTCAAAAGGACAAGGGTATGATTTGTGCAAAAGATAGGTTCATAATTGAAAGGCTTGAAAGGAAAAGTGCCGAGTCATGTAAAAATTGAAGGCAGCGTACTTTTGAAGATGTTTGTATATATAATTAGGAATTTTACATTTTGGTTATAGAGAAAGTGCATTATATGCATTATATACACACACACACACACACACACACACACACACACACACACATATATATATATATGGGTATTTCGGTTGTAATTCATAATTTTTTTTTTTTTTTTGAGACAGATTCATTCTCATACTGGTTTCAAGTTTTTATTTTTTTTTATATGCTTAGAAAGATTACCAGGTCTGGGTGAAAATCATTTGGGTCCCTAACATGCAATTACTCCTCAAAAGCAGGATGAGAGCTTTTCAGTAGCTAATGAGATGGTTGCATAGTTAAAACTAAATCTGAATGTTAGTGTCAATGAATTGTGTGCAATTTCTGCAAGTTGAGTCATGAATCATAGGTTTATCCCAGACTGCAAATGTGTCTGTGCTTGAAGTAACCTACTTCTTTTGTCTCAAATCTTCATATTTCTATATATTTTTTTAAAATTCTTGTAGGACGTTTCCCGGAGAACTTCTCCATCATGACTCTGGTAAAGGCCAAGGCTGGTCTTCAGGCCTTCCTGATGTCCATCTATAATGAGCAGGGTGTCCAGCAGCTCGGTCTAGAGTTGGGACGCTCGCCCATCTTCCTGTATGAGGACCAGAATCGCAAACCCGCCCCAGAGGACTACCCACTGTTTAAAGCGGTCAACCTGGCTGATGGCAAGTCAGTAACCAATGCCTGCTGAGCCCCATCAGCCCATCCAGTTTCAAATATCTTATAATTACTTGTGTTATGCAACCCTGATGCTGTTAGTTTCCCAGAAATGTGATGTGTAACTGTTGTTTGAATAGTAAACATCACTTTTTAGACTAAGAAATTTTGTATGCAGGGGCTGAAAGGTTCCTTACAGTCTATATTAATGGCTCTTGGCAAACACACAAACTATATACAGGAACTCTTTGTGACTATCTGCCCAGTTCACGCACATTAAACCTTCAATATCTCCTCTCGTCCTATAGGTGGCACCGCATTGCCATTTCTGTGCAGAAGAAGAACATCACTCTGATCCTTGACTGCAAGAATCGCATTACAAAAACTCTGGCACGTAGCAACAACCCAGTCTTGGACACCAAGGGCATCACTGTCTTTGGAGCCCGTCTTCTGGATGAGGAGGTCTTCCAGGTCTGGTATACATTGTGCAAGAGATATCAAGGAATTCTGTGAAATACACTTTGAGATTGATAGATGACAATTAAAAAAAATTATTCTGTCATCAATTACTCATGAATTTCTTTCTTCTGTTGGACATATGAAGATATTTTGAAAAATCTGGGTAAACAAACAGTTTATGATCCCCATTGACTTCCATGTGACTTTTTCCATACTATGGATGTCTATGGGGACTGGCAACTGTTTGGTTACCCAGATTCTTCAAAATATCTTCTTTTGTGTTCAGCAGAAGAAAGAAATTCGTATAAGTCGTATAAGGGGGAAGTCGTTGGCCTAATTGTTAGAGAGTCGGACTCGTAACCCAAAGGTTGCGGGTTCGAGTCTTGTACCGGCAGGGATTGTAGGTGGGGGGAGTGAATGTACAGCGCTCTCTTCCACCTTCAAATTTCACTTCATTTTATAGGTTTAGAACATGATGAGTAAATGATGACAGAATTTTCATTTTTGGGTGAACTATCCCTTTAAGAAGGGTTACTTTGTAACATGTTTGGAGTTTTTTTAAATTGTCTGCATGAAATGAACTACAATTTATGGTCATGTTATAGGCAAGTGAAATAACAAGAATTGTCATCATGAAATCATGAAATCAAAACTGATCTTATTTACTTTGTTAATACACATTCCTGGACTTTTAAGTAAACCAATAAGTATTTATTTGCCAAATTTGACGATGGTGAACATTTTCAAATGTTTTCTGTCTTTCTTGTCTTCAAAAAGCTCTTTCAGACTTCTGAAATCTCACACAAATATTACTGAGAATGTGACATTGTTCAACATGTTTTTACACTGACAGGCCAAATGCTCTTGTTAAGTCAACTTACAAACTAGTTGAGACTGTGAAAACGTAACATGTTAAGTTGAATAAAAAATCATAAACTGCAAGTTGCCAACTTCGAAACAACTAAACTATGAAATCATTTTTACAGCACACTCTTGTTGAATGCCCGCTTGACACGATCGAGTCAATTGCTGATGGATCAAATTAAGTCCTGTCTTACGTTTTCTTGTTGAATATTCTACTTTACTCTGTTCTGCAATGTCTCAGAACAGAGTTGCAAATGTCATTTTATTTTGACTTTAAATTCATCCTATATGGTATAATCAGAAAATGTGAGACAGTTCTGTTGCACTTCACTTATTGCTATTCAAATACAATTTAATTTTAAAAATTTAATAAAATAAAATCTTGCACATTCTAAATGCCTTAGTATCCCACATTAACTGACTTTGACCCCTGGTAACAAACTTGATACTTTATTCACATCTGGTTGTTAAAGTGACATCTCTTCTTTTTCTTTGCTTCTCTCCAGGGTGAGATCCAGCAGCTGCTGATCGCATCCAATCCTCAGGCCGCTTATGACTTCTGCGAGCACTACAGCCCCGACTGTGACTCCCCTCTGCCCAAAGTCCAGTCCCAGGACCCAAACAGCTTCGTGAGTACCACAGCACATTTTTACAATGGGGCAAAGTGTCCTGATGTGAGATATGAAAAGAGTTTCACTAGTAGCAACAGCTCTTAGCTCTTCTCAATGCATCAATGTATGCTAAATGTTTTTGCTTATGCAAAAACAGCGACTCATCCAAATATTTGCTGTAGAATCTGCCTTGATTCAGTCATTAATCATGCCATTCAAAAGCTGCATCTGTATTTGACTTGGATTGGACTTGCACTAAATGCTTGGATAAATATGGGCCAAGCCAGATATTGTAAATGTTACTCACAAATGCATCTCACATCAGAATGCCAGCTGAATATTCATGAAAATCGTCCACAAAAATCTAGAATTCTACGCACATTAGTATTATATTTTACCTACACTATATAGAGCCCCTCATTTGAGTCAGATACCCACATCACTCCCCTGCAACACATTTTCATACATCCACAGCTCTTCCACCTCATCAAAGGTGCTCTGTCTCAGTTTCTCATCAGTGCATGTGGCTTTCTTGAGATGTATCTCTTACAAAGTACAAGAGGAATCTCACTGCAAAGCTTAGATCAAATTGGAAATATAGCAACCTAGAGGAGCTTTATTACAGCTTTATAGGCACCATGGTTAAAAAAAAAGGTGCTGTAATGCATTACAATGTATTATATATCTTAATAATATATTTTAGTATCAGTAAGATACAAATGTAGTTTTTATTATTATTTTGAGATAGTTATTTTTTTCCTTTTTAAAGTTTGTTGTTTTTGTTATTTTAGTAGTTATTTTCTATATCTATATCTGTCTATGTAGTTTTATTATATTTTAGTTTAGTTTTAATTAGTGCTGTCAAACGATTAATCATGATTATAAAAGTTTTTGTTCACATAATATATGTGTGTGTACTGTGCATATTTATTATGTATATATAAATACAAACATATGCATGTATATATTTAAGAAAAATATGTAATGTTTATATATTAAATATATTTATATATAATATAAATGATATGAGTATAAATATATATATGTAAATACATGTAAATATTTTCAAAATATATACTGTATGTGTGTGTCTTTATATATAATAAATATACACAGTACACACACATATATTGAGTAAACAAAAACTTTTATTTTGGATGCGATTAATCGCGATTAATCGTTTGACAGCACTAGTTTTAATACATCAAGTTTAGCTAAATTAAAATGAAAATGTTGCCTAGCTAAAAAAAAATTATGTTGTTATTAATGTTTTTTTATATTTTATATTATTCCAGTTAATGTTTATTTTATTTCAAATAATGAAAAAGTTTTTTTTGTATGGTTTTAATTTTACTTTCAATTTTAGTTTTATTTACATACAATAATCCTGAGACAGAAATATGATAAATTACTCCAATGTTCAGTAAATAGTTATATTTAATACAATGGCTTTTACCTTTTATAATGGCTTCAAGCACAGCTCATACAATCTGAATTTAGGGTGAAAACTATTTTATAACGTCCGATTGAACCTAAATGCTGAAACTGCATATAATAGCTTTATTTTGCTTACTGCTTACAATATACCCTTGTGTCAGCTTTTCAGATGAATGCATTTGTTTTCTTGTTCATTGAAGTTCTCAATGTGTTTTGCAGTAATGCATTAACATCTGAGTGTTACTCAAAGCCATGAGTCTGATGAACAAATGATAAAACCATCATGCTTTCATCTTACCCTTATTTCTAATTCCTACATCTCACTTTACTCATCCTTCACTTTTCTCTCCTCTCTCCCTATTATCCTCTCATTCGTTTTCTCTTCCCAAAGTCTTCTTTTTTCCCTCTTGTCATTTGCTCCATTCCCTTACTGTCACTCACAAGGCCTCTCTCTCTCCTTCCCTGCATTCCTCTGGCTTCACTGCTCCTCTCTCTCCCCCCATGTCTCTCAGTACTTTGATGAAGAGCGGGATGATTATGAATACCCCTATTATTATGAAGGAACTACGAGTGTCCCTCCCTCCGTCCCAGCCGTGGACCCCACCAAAGAGGTAAAGAGGGAGATCGCAAATGGAATCACAAAGTGAATCAGAAAAGAGAGGAGGAGAAAGAGACGGCATGATACCTGATTTAGGGTAACTTGATAAGTGCCTGCAAGGCCAAAAAGAATAATATTAACGCTTTAAATAAATTTAATAATTTTTTTATCTGCATTTTTGTCTTGTTTTCTAAACATCCCTCTGACAAAACAGATCTAACAAAATTTGATGAGGTTTATGCTAAAAAGAAGACAGCAGGGTAAAAAAAAAGAAAAGAAAATAAGTCTTACAGTCCTTTACATTGCTTCTCAAGTAAACATATTTATTTAACGGAACACTCCACTATTTTTGATAATAGGCTCATTTTTCAACTCCCTTAGAGTTAAACAGTTGAGTTTTACCGTTTTCGAATCCATTCAGCCGATCTCCGGGTCTGGCGGTAGCACTTTTAGCTGTAGCTTAACATAGATCATTGAATCTGATTAGACCGTTAGCATCTCGCTCAAAAATGACCAAAGAGTTTCTATATTTTTCCTATTTAAAACTTGACTCTTCTGTAGTTACATCGTGTACTAAGAAAACTCTTGAAACTCTAGAAACTCTTTGGTCATTTTTGAGGCAAAAGTGCTACCGCCAGACCCGGAGATCGGCTGAATGGATTCGAAAACGGTAAAACTCAACTGTTTAACTCTAGGGGAGTTGGAAAATGAGCCTATTTTCAAAAATAGTGGAGTGTTCCTTTAAGGATTATTTAAGGATGTTAACTAGAAAACAAGATAAAATATTTATTACATTTTTAAAAATATATATTTTGCAGTGTATACTGTGACTGTAGGCTTTGGTTTTGGGTAATGCATATATAGCAGAAAAATAGACATCAGAATATAGGAAAATCACAATATAGTATGCAAATAAAAGAAATAAAGAAGTCAGTATGCAAATATTTCTATGACATTGCTGTGGATTCAAATTTAAATTGAAAATTTCTTTAAATGTATACATTTTACAAAAACCAATTGGACGCAGAGAGTTTAATATGAAACTCACCTGTCTCCTTCAATTGAATACGTTCATCCTCTCTTTTCTGTTCACTCCTGTCTCACATTGTCATGTGATGTCCCACCTCTTTCCGTTCATCACCTCGTTTCACGTGCCCATCACCTGTCACACTATAATATTGATGTTGCTTGTGTCATTTACATGTTGTCCTTTGTCATATATTTGTACCTGTATAGTGTCAGAATGTTTGTGTTGGTCAGTTCATGATTGTGTGTATGAGGATTTTTAAGGGGCACTGGAGGTTCAACACACACACACACACACACACACACACACACACAATATATATATATATATATATATATATATACAGTATATACAGATATATTTTATGGTATATTTATGCTGTATCTAAATTATGTTTAGTAAATTAAGTAAGTTTATGTTTACATTTTTAAATAATTTTTTATTTATATTTAAATATTATATTTACATTAACTTGGTTAATTCTTTTTTAATTTACTTTGTTTTTTTGGTTTTTTTTACATTTTATGGCTAAAGTCCATATTATGGTTAATTACTGCAATTAAGTAATACTTCATAGTAAATTAACCAAAAACATTTTGACCATTCAGAATTTTAATGTGCATGTAAACAGGGTCATTGTAACTTATTGATTTGATGCTGATATAATAGTTCAGGTAAACAGGTTTTTTATAGAAAACCACTTTTCATTCTTCCCAGTTGCATGGCATTACTCTTCTTAAACCTGGTTTCAGTCTTGTGTATTTGCATGTTTTCACTTTTCACCTGTTGTGTGAGTAACAAAACTTATGAGTTCGCTTGTGTCTTGTGTCACTCTCATCTGTTATCATGTACAACGAGCATCTGTGTCTATGTGTTTATTCATATCCATCTCTTCACTTTATAGGTTTACTTTCACTTTGGCCAAGATTGTATTCTCACTTATTTGTAGTGCTGTCTTTATCTTGCGTGCTCACTGAGCTCTTTAAAAAGCTATTTTGTGTTTTACTGTGAGTATAGTTAACCTATACTAGTTTAATTTAGCTCAGTATGTGTCAACTTGAGGATTAGTCTTCAATTAATATGCCTGTTTTATTTTCTGCAGTTTGTGCTTTTGCTTATCATCTGAATCTGGGTAGTCTACGCCATTCATTCCTTTCACATTGATTGATGTATAATATTTGAATCAGTATTCTGAGTTTTATGTTATTTACTTAAACGGTTTTCTTTAATGATTTGCTAGCAATGTCAATTTAATGGGATTATGAATGGTGCATTATGACTATCTCCCTTCCTTTCCTTTAATATCCCTCTCTTTCTGTGCCGTTGGGCAGCACAGTGTACCAGCCATGCATCAGTTTTATCAGCAGATGCTATTTGAGCAAACTTTCCCCCAGTGCCTCACAGCGTTACATCCCCATGCGCACAACATGCTGCTTTTTTAATGTGGAGATTGGCATTATTGGAGAAAACAGTTTCAAATTATTTGTTTCTTTAGGTATGATTGAAGTTCATGAAGTCTAAACTTATTAAATGAATATAAACAACTAAATCTGACTTAGCTTCATACTGTATCCAGTAATGCCAGTGAAATCTCAGTCAGTCATTCAAGCGCCAGCGATCTTAAATTCACTGTGTTGTCTCTCTCTTTTTCTGTCCATCCCCACTGCTTTCAATCCCACCCATCCCTGATGTCTTCCACTCTCTATCTCTCTCTCATTCACTCTCTTTCCATCAACGCTGACCTGACACTTACGCTTTTAAATAAAAACAATATTAATCAAATAGGAGGGAAAGGCGAACAACGGCAAAGCTGATAAGCCAAAAACTGCCCCAGCCAAAGCTGCTAAAGCCAAGCCAACTCCAAAGCCGAAGGCCAAACCTATCTCAAAGACAAAACCTACTTTAGCTTCTAAACTAGCATCCAAACCAAAAGCAACACCGGCCCCAAAGATTGAAAACAAAAAGAAGGCAAATGACAATGGAAAAAATAACGGTCAAGCTAAAGTAAATGGCAATGGCAAAAGCAATGGGAATGGGAAAGATGCTAATGGTAAGGCTAAGGCTGGCAGCAATGGCAAAGCCAATGGCAATGGGAAGGCAGCTGTGGAGAAAAAAGCAAAAGGAGAAGCTAAAGCTAATGGCAATGGTGCGAAAACAGCGAAGACTGAAAAGGCAGCAGTGACCAAAGTAACAGTAGCAAAGAAGTCAGAGACAACTGCGAAGAAAGCAGAGACCAGACCACAACCAGCCAAAGACAAAACAAAAGCCAATGCAGTACCTAAAGCAAAGCCTAAAGCGACCAAACCTGTGGTACAAAAGTTTCAGACCAAAGTCGCTAAAACTCAAAAACCTGTTGCTTTTAAACCCACCCCTGCGCCTTTGCCTCTCCCTCCAAAGCCTAAGGTCTTGGATGTCAATAACGTCAAATCAATGTCCAAAAATTTCCCACCCTTCGACAAGGCTGCTGTGAGTGGCACGACCATGTCTTCTCCAGAAATACCCAAGAAGAAACCCACCAATGGTTATCAACAGGTACAAAATCAAGAGCCCGCGTTGGCTTTCCAGAGCTGTATTTCCAACCTCGCCATCCTGGTAGTCCAGGACCGCGTTCATAAAGTATCTCAAAGAAATTGTTGATCTAGGATTTGTCTTCATTGAAAATGTCGAAAGATCTCAGATGCAACACATACTCTGGTGTGCTTTGTGAAGAAGGTCCAACATCTTGCCTTTCAGGTTTTACATACTGTACGTTTTCAGTATTAATGTCATTCAAAACAGCATCAGGAAAGCGCAGAAGAAAAAAATTACATTTTTAAAGCACGTTTTTAACATCTTTTGTACTTTTTTACTTTTAAATCAGTGAGTAAAACCATTAAGGTATCATGAGATTGACTAGCTGTGAGGTTGGAGACATACAGACCCACTGGATCTCCTCCACCCTTTCATATATCAAATGATCTGAGAGATCATTAGAAGGATATGATAAGCGGTATAGACTGTGTCATCACCGCATGGCTATACAGTCTTTTGTCTGTCTTCTTTTCACTCTAAATCTACACTCTCTAACCGGTTAGTTTTTAGAAAGTAGATCACCAGGTAATGCCGATTAGAGCATTAGAGCGATTAGTCGCAGTTTATTGAGTCATTGGTAGAGCTCAATGTTACACATGACACAACGAGTCTCTTTCTTCGTCTCACTTTATGATTTCTGCCTGTTTCTCTTTTATGTGTTGTTTGTTAAATGCTGTCCTGTCAGTAGTATGTGAATGAAGCAGTTTCACAGAAAAGTTGCTGTTTAAAACAGCGACTCTGTGGCGCTGCACTCCATGATTATCAACTCTTTCTGTCTTTGTTGAAGATCTGAAATTGTGGACAAATGTCCAAAAGTTGTTTACTAATGCTGTCAGTTGTGTTTCAATGGTCTGAGACTATTGACACCAACATCAACAACTTTAAAGTCAAGTTTTGACCCAACTTGACTATATTTTATCCTTGACATGGCAAAGTGGCTAATTAAACCAAATCAGGTTGAAAGGAAAATCTGGGACAGCAAATCTTATAAGTCTTTCACAATGTAAAGGCTTATTACAAGATTTTTGATTCCAGCTGCAAAAGTTTCCTGTTCTGATTTTACTATGACATGAGATCAATGGTGTTTTTGTGTGTCTGTTGGCAAAAACACATTGATCTTTTCTTTCTACAAGTTCATCAGACTTGAGCTTGTTTCATACTAATCAATCTCTCCCATTCAAATCTGCTTACCTCCTCCCCCAACCCCGCCCACCTCTCGGCCTCCTCCAATCAGGACGTAGATCCTGCTTACTCAGAGGCTGACCACACCCCCACAGAGACCGATTATTATTACACAGTAGAAGAAGAGGCGAGCCCACAGCCAGAGAGTGATCTGACTGGATATGAAGAAACCATTAATCAGGTAACCCACACCCATAGATATCTGAGAGACATGGAGCTGAAAACAGTCTCTCAATTACTCTAAACCATTACAATGGAGGTGAGACCAGCCTGTGTATATTTTACCTTAACAATTAACCATCCTGCAGCCACGTTTGCCATGATAAGTGCTGTACTTAACTGAAAAATGAATGCAGAGCATCCATTTTATCAGATATTCTTTTGTGATTCTAAAAATTGCCTCAAGATTTTCTCCTTGTTCCTATGTCAAAACTGGACATGACACCATCTTAACATAAGAACAGAAATCTTGAGAAACAGAGATCACAAAAGAAATGGTACACTTATGGAATGAATACCATGCATTCATTGCTGGACAGCTTCTTTTGAGATATTTTTGGGATGCAGACACTGCCAATATGTAAGATTTAAGAAACTGCTAAACTTTACTTTGAGCAGCTTAGTTAGTTATGGATAGACCTAACTAAAACGTATTTCTTGTCTAGAGTGGCACTTTTTGGTCAGGTTTGTATTTAAGAATAAACAAGATGTTTAGGAATAGTTTGGAAATGGACATGGCCAGAAAATTTAAAGGGGTCATATGATGCTGCTAAAAAGAACATTATTTTGTGTATTTGGTGTAATGAAATGTGTTTATGCGGTTTAAAGTAAAAAAAACACATTATTTTCCACATACTGTACATTATTGTTTCTCCTCTATGCCCCGCCTTTTTGAAACGCGTCGATTTTTACAAAACTAATCGGTCTGAAAAGCGAGGTGTGCTCTGATTAGCCAGCTATCCAGTGCGTTGTGATTGACC